TGATTTTAAAAATTCAACTTAATTAAATTATCTTCATCTCTCTCTATGTCTTTGTCTCCTGCAGTTATATTAGATTGTCCTTTTCTCACCCGCTTCCAACCTCTCTCAAAAAATTTTACTCCCTTATCAGAATGGCTCACTACTCAAAATTATATTTGATAATATCTTCTCATTGTTACTATTTTAAGTATTGCTTTTAATCAGACAAGGTAGTGAAGTCTTTAAAATGATTAACGTCTACTTATCTGGCACAATGTACTCCATTGCTGCAACTATTCCTTTAAAAAAAGAATGAAGACCAATTCAGCAGAGGTATGCTGACAAGGGAATTTGTCCTTCATTTAGAAATGCCAATTGAATGAAATGGGGTTATGTAAGAGGAAAACCATCTATCTATCTATATATATATATATATATATATATATATAAAGGAAACCCAAACTTTGGAAACTCAGCTGATGTGTCCTCTTCTCATGCAATCTGAGCTTTGTGTTCACACTTGCTTAATTTTAAATTTTTTCCTCTTTTAGAAACTTTTTGAAATATTTTTAATTAAATAAAAATAAAAATTGTTATTAATTTCGAATTGTTTAAAATTAAATTTGTTATTAATTCATTTTTCTGAAAAGAGTGCAGCTTTTATTATGGTTCAGATTTTGAATACAACAAAACCCCACTAACTTAACTTCTGTCTTGGACCTATTCATTTTGCTGTTTTCAATAAAGACATTTATTACATTCAACGGAGCTTCTCAAATAACGCATTGGGTGTTTGTATAAATGGGTAAGTATTGTTTCTTTTTTTGTTTGGGTTGGCTGGGTTTTTTCTCTGCTTTGGTGTGTGTAGAGGTTGTTCTATTGATATTATTTTCGTTTTCTTGATGAACACGTGGTTCCGATGACGTATTTTTTGGAGGGTTATCTTTTGGAGCTTCTTCAACGTTGAAGAACAAGTGAATTTAGAATATGAACCACTTCTTTTGTATCTGTTGTTTTATTGGTTTAATTTTTGGTTTCTTTTTTAGCAAACGCTGGCAATTCATTTTCATTTTTTTATACTGATTCTAATTTCTTCATTTTGTAGGGCGGAAGGTTTGTGTTGCGGTGAACTGTTATTTACGTGTTCAGCGTTCGAGGGAGAATCTATTGCTGTGATGTGAAAGGTTCAATTTATCTATGGTTGCATCAATTCAATAGGGTTTGTGATTTTTTTTTTGTCGCATTACTGATGACAAAATTGCTATGGCATCTTTTTGACAACATTGTTTTGTAGGGAAGCAAGCAATGGAAACCGTAGCAGTTTGATGGCAGAGAGAGCACCTTCCATAGCTGAAGAATTCCAGAGAGTTGCAGAGGAGGGAAGCCAAGAAAGAGGGTTCTATTGGTGACTCTAAGGTTGGATCAACCAAGAACATGTTCAAACACCATGAACCTGAGAAAGATGGTGCAGCTTTTATGTCAGTTCACTTTTTCAATGCAGCTATATCCCACTACCTTCTGTCTTGGAAAATGTTGGGCACATTCATTTTGTATAAATAGAGAAGTTGTGTTTCTTATTTTTTTTTAGCTTGCCTATGATTTCTTTCTTCATTTCTGATTGTAGGGGTTGTTGTGTTGGTATTATTTTTTGTTTTCTTTGGCTTTCTCCGATTCGTTTCTTCATTTGGCTTTGTACGGATTGTTGTATGGGTATTATTTTTTGTTTACTTCGGCTTGCCTCTGATTCGTTTCTTCGTTTGTGTTTGTAGGGATTGTTGTATTGATATTATTTTCGTTTTTATTTTTTTATACTAATTCTCTTTTTCTCTTTTTCTAGGGCGGAAGGTTTCATCGTATTTCATGTTGTGTAGTGCTTGCCGACGTTTTTTTTCAAGCGTGCCAGGATTGAGGAAACGGTTTGTCGATCACTCAACGATTTTCCAGAAGAAAATGAATTTGTCCCCACTATAAAAGATACATGAGCTTTTGAAGCTTTGAGTCTTTGTGTTACGAAAGGATACGCTTTGCTGCTGAAAATGAATTTGTAACTGATGGACAAATTTCTAATTGCATAACATATTAATTTCATATTTTGTTAGAAAGTGTTTCTTCATTGTGTTGCGTTTGGGGTTCTTATTTTATGTACGCAGAAAATAATAATTATTTCAACTTCCCATATTGTAATTGTCTTGATTCAAAATATCAAATTCAAATTTCTAATTATTTTGTGTTCACAAGAATTTGAAATGTTTCCTATTATAATAACTTTTCAAATTTTTATTTTAACTTTAAATTTAAAAACTCAATTAAGATCTCACTAACTCCTGCATTGATATTTGCCAGACCTATTAAAATCTCACTAACTTTTAAAATTCAAAATTTAAACTTAATATAAGAGGGAAAAAAGTTCAGCTAATGTACTTAAAACTGAAATCTTGCACACACTAATTTACATAGTCTAATTGATACGTTACGACTCTAACAAAGTTAATTTACAATAATTAATTAATTAACATGTAAAAGACTAAGGCCATTTCTCCTAAGTGCACGAAATATTGATTGTAGTGGCGGTGAACAATTGCTTTTAATTATATAATTAAATTGTAATAAAACGATATATTAAAGTTATTTTTAACTCAAAAATGAAGCAAACATTTAATGACATTAAAAGTTATACTTTGGAGAATGAGCCAAAAACTATGATGCACGACATTGTATTATAGTAAGATTAAGATGTCACTAACTCTTGCATTGATGTTTGTCAGGCTTATAAAATCCCACTAATTTTTAAAATTTTAATTTTATACTTAATATAGGTGGGGGACAAATTCAGCAATTGCAAATATCTGTATTAATACTCCATTACTTTTTCAAAATTCGAATTTTAAACATGATATAGGTGGGAAAAAACGACATTGGAATTTTAAAATGTTAGTAATTTGAAAATCGTTTGGAATTACGATATGCATGGAAAAATTCAAAGGGCTCAATAATCTAAGTGAATGACTAGGAAAATATTTTAGTGCTCATCCCAAAAATCAGCAACTCAACTAAAATATTTGACACTTGGGTTATATGCAGTTTCCACGGTTAGTCATAACTTAATCGGCATTGAATGTATATAATTGAATTTGTAAAAAATAATAAAACAAATTGAATGGAATTTGAAAAAGTAAAAATAACACTTGCTATTTGTTTGAATTGAAAACATATTATATGCTACTAGTTAGAGGTTGCAAACTGGGCTCGGCCCGAAGGGCCGGCCTACCAAGATATTTTTATAATTAAATTAAAATTTCATCTTTCTTCTTTTATAATTAAATTCATCAATATGAGCTTACCAAAAAAAATAAATTCCTAAATCTGATTTTAATTTTTGTAAATACAAATTTGGAATATTGCAAATACAAACGACACAAATCCTCGCAAATAATTATTTATTATTACTTTTTAAATCTGATTGTAATAAATGAAAGTCTATCTCTGAGATAAAATATAAAAACCTAAACGCAACTATAACAGTCTTTTTGTGTGGATAAGCATAAAAACTTATTACATGCTAATAGTTAGAGATGACAAACTGGGCTCGGCCCGGAGGGCCGGCCCACCAACACATTTTTATAAGTGAATCAAATTTTTATCATTCTTCTTTTATAATTAAATTCCTAAATCTGATTTTAAATTTTGTAAATACAAATTTGTAAAATTTCAAATACAAACTACACAAATCCTTACAAAAAAAAATTATTTATTATTATTTTTTAAATCTAATTGTAATAAATGAAAGTCTATCTCTGAGATAAAATATAAAAACATAAATGTGACTATGGCGTATTTATTTTTTACATAACTCATCAAGTAGATAACTATATTTGATTTGCATAATATTGATCACTCTGTATAGCATACTTTTGTTTATGGTTGATATTTGTAAAGTTCTGTGTCAATGCTGTATTTTTTTTTCACCTGGAATATAGAACAAAATAGCAGCACAGTTTTTTTTGTAAGTATCAGGTTTGCTGTGCGATTAACCAACCACAGCGGACGACAAAAAATTTGATCTTTTTCCCCCGTGCATCGCACGGGTAATATACTAGTAACATAAGAAGGAATGCCAAAATCAGAGAAAATATATGAGAGCAAAAAAAGAACATACTTTCCATTTGAGAAAAGGCTAAGGTAAAAGAAATCTCAGGGGTTAGGGTGAGATTGTAAAAGAGACATGTTATTTATACTTATCACTAAAAAGTTTCACAAAATACACACTAATAGAAAATCCATTAAAATCGTTAGATTTTTGAATACCACAAGATTGTTTTTTCTTTGTTTAAAATCCCGATTGAATACTACCGGATTTGGACTGACTCTTAAAAAATCTTTTAAAATCCTAATCGAATACCACATGATTTTTTTACAATCCTTTAAAATCCTAATTGAATGTCAATGGATTTTTTTTGTACAAAAACAATCAATAATTTTTTTTTTTTTAAATCTCAATCCAATATACCCCTAAAAAACTATTATTTGATAGGATATTGTAACAACCAATTAGTGTTACTACCAATCAATTTCAACGTTAGATCGATTATGTGGATCCAACTGTTATATTTATTTTCACCTTTGTATGGTTATGATCTCCCATATTTAATGTGAAAATATTAAATATGGAAAATGATAACCATATAAAAGTGGAAATAAATATAAATTATTAAATATAGAAAATTATAACCATATAAATATGGAAATAAATATATAACTGTGGATCAACATAATCGATGTAACGGTGAAATTGATTGATATTAATATTAATTGGTTGTTACAATATCTTTCCCCTTATTTGATTAGGATTATCTTTTTTATCTGACTAGGATTCCTATGTGATTAGGATTTGATCACACAGACAATTTTATTGATTATAACTTATAAATACCTATTTGGGCTTTAGCCCATTCTCAGTCAATAAGCCCATTAGGGCATGATATAAACTATGTTCGGCTGATTTTTAATCAAATTCTAAACGTCCTCAACTCCCTAAAAATTTTCCACCTGCTTAAGATTTCAATCTCAGCTATATAATCTTACCAGGTCTCTTTTACGGCTGGAGTTCGAATTTGAGGTGGATTTTGCCTTTCAAAATCTCTGAAAACAAGTAAGTCACACCACTCATTATTATTCCTGTTTGATTTTAATGTAATTAGGTTTTCTAGTGAATGGGGTTCACTCTGGTATGTCGTCCAAAAAAGTGGCATGCCGTATTTCTCTTTGAAAAAGAAAGCTATCATGTTTGTGAATCACAGAAATTTTAGAAGCTAAAAAAGTTTTACTTTTGGGTATAGTTGTTTGAATCATACGTTCACTATTGGATATTGTCAATCCATGCGGCACTCAAGAAGGGATTAAATTCAGTAATGGAATTTTTTTTGAATAATTCTTTGCCAAAGTAAAACTGCATAAAAAACCTTCTGAGATTGTAGGAGTGAAAGAACATGTATCAAAAAAATAAAAAAGAACCCAGGTCTCTGACCCTAGGCGTCGGGCACCAGGTCAACCATCCGGTGCACCTCAACAGGCACCGGGTGCACCACCACGCCTGGCGAGGTGCATCTCAACAGGCGCCGGATGCACCACGCCTGGCCTCAGGTTCACCTCGTCGGGCCCGAGGTGCACCGGATGGTTGACCTGGTGCCCGACAAGGTGCACCTAGTTGATAAACTCAATAGAAATAACTTCACTAAAGATATAATTGCAAATACAAATTAATCCCAATTTACAATTGAAATTCATTTCCTCAAACCTTAACTCTAAGGCCCAAAACCCCAATCTCTATTCAAACTAACCTCTTAGGTCTAAGATTCCCAATTGTTTCTTGTTTCTATTGTTAACTCTAAAAATAAGTTAAATTATTAGGTTTAAGTCTATACCCTAAAATAATTTTTGATAACCTAACTAGTATTTCTCAAAGAGCAGAAAGGTGAAAATTAAGCACAATACTTCTGAATGTAATCTTTTCGCTCCTAGACTTTGCCTAGAGGGATCTGTGTGTTTTTTGATTTCCAAGAGCTTGAGAATATATAGACATAAATCCTTCTAAATGATTTTCTTATATGACTTTATCTTCAATCTTCTATCTTACTATCCATTGTCTTCTTGAAGCTTTACCACTTATCCTAATATTCAATCTTTCAAATATAGGTATTTTATCCTTCGCACTACCTTTTTTTAATATGGTCATCCCCTACAATAAACACTCAACAAACCATCAAATTATAATAGCTTCAATTGTGAGTCATCATTAAAATATTCTAAGGCATAGGGTCCAATAGATACTATTTGCTAAGCCAGCGATTCTTAGATGTATGAATAGTGTGATTCTTTATCATCGATAATAATCACACAATATAACTATTCATCAATTTCAACTTGAGAATTGGATGAAAGAAAAGCAAAATGCATTGATTTTACTGTATTTGATTATTCTATGGGAAAAGTGTTTCTCGTGCAACTTGTTCTGACAAAAAATGACATTATTTTGGGTTTAGGAAAAAAATATTGTTGTGGGAATTTTATTTATTGCAATATGAATTTTTCCAAAATGTTCTATTTTTTTTTTCAAACGCTAAGGGGGTGTTTAGTACCCAGATTATTTTTGAATTCTTGGGAAAGCTTGGTAGAGAGAATTAAAATGTCATGTTTGGTACCAATAAATGCAAATCTTTCCCCGGTAAAAAGTTTGCCTGGTTTTTGTTGTTATGTGTAAATTCTTGTACGGTTGCCTTGTTAGAAAGTCCATAGATTAGTTGGTGTAGTTTTTTACCTGGGGAAGTAAAAAGTAACCAAAATAATATGGACCAATTTAACCCTACATTTTTGTCTACTAATTTTGAATGAAAAAGTAAAGGTGGGTTATTTTTGTAAAATAACCCCACATTCCTACTACTATTTCACAATCACTCAAACATCAACTCATAAACTTAATCAAATATTCCCGGGACAAATTTTGGTCAACCAAACACATTTTTGTAACTTATTCGGAAAAAAATATTTCTCACCACATTCCGGCAAAATTATTTTCTCAGTAAATTTTTTTTTCTCCTGTATCAAACGCCCCTAAGGGTTTCAATAGTTACTCACACCTACTCTATGCATCTCATTTGGCTATTTCATTGCTCTCTTTTGATTTGTCTGAAATAAATACTTTTGACATTCTCTTGCTTACTAATTATATACCTTGTTTGGCTATATCAATGCTTTGATTTTGTTCTTCTAAAACATATTCTTCAGTCACTTTATTTGACTCAATTATGGCTTATGATTTTGTTTTGAGACTTTTGGTTAGTTGTTTTGTTGATTCGTAGTTACTAATTTGAAATTATTTCAATGAGCATGATACATCATTAATATGAAATATTTAAAGCTATTTTTCATTGGCATGGATCCTCTGATGTCATTTGTTAGAGAGATATAAAATCATTAGTGTAGCCTCACCAAAAGGCTTAAGGCTTTGGGTTGAAGTGGTTCTTTACATCAGAGTTGGAGTGACCAAGTGGTCACAAGTTCAATCCTCACCGCCTTTCACTTTTTGGTGGAACTAAGTAAGCACAAGATAAACCAAAATTGGGCCTGTGCAATATCCACGCTTCAAGCTTAAAGAGCTTTTGCGTAAGGGAGTGTGTTAGAGAGATATAAAATAATTAATGTAGCCTTACTTATCGCCTTAAGGCTTTTGGTTGAAATGATTCTTTACATGGTATCAGAGGTGTAGTAATCAAATGATCTAGAGTTCGATCTTCACCGTCCCTATTTTGTGGTGGAATTAATTAAGCAAGAATAAGGTAAATAAAAAATGAGCCTGTGCAACATAAGGCAGACAAAAAATGGGCCTGTGCAATATCCATGTTTCAAGCTCGAAGGGCTCTTATGTGAGGGTATGTGTTAGAGAGATAAAATCATTAATGCAGCCTCATCTAATGCCTTAAGATTTTGGGTTGAATTGGTTTCTTTACATCATTTATCAAGAGATTAATGGATATTGTTAGAGAAGTATGAAACCATTAAGGTAACCTCACCCAAAAGTTTAAGCTTTTGGGTTGAATTGGTTCTTTACATGGTATCAGAGCCTCAATGTCACGGGTTCGATCCTCATCATCCTCCACTTTCTCTTGTCGAATATCTTGTCATAGGTAGGTGGACCTGTGCATTATCCACCCTTCATGCCCCAGTGGGCTCTCGTGTGAAGGAATGTGTTAGAGAAGTATAAAACCATTAAGGTAGCCTCACTCAAAAGCTTAAGCTTTTGGGTTGAATTGATTCTTTACAGATATACATTTATTAGAAAACTTGTAAAATGAAGAAGAGTGATCATTTTAATTGTTGATTGTTGATCTATTACTCAGATTTTCACATTACGTGATCACGTTAGAGGATTTATTCCCATTTTTCGTTGTCTCTAAATCTTGTAATTCAATACAATTTCTGATTCATGGTTTGAATTGCAATTTAATAACCTTATTTTTTGACGGAATATCATAGAAAGCCCCCCTAGTGGATGTGTTTATTATCCCTAGTCTCCATATCTTAGTTTGTTTTTTTCTTATTCATTTTTATATTTTCTTGTTGGCATTGCTAGTCTTCTTTTTCATTATTTCATCACATATCTTAGATTATAATTCTTCCAACTTTGCATGTAGTCTATTAGCTTCATTGTTCAATTTTTGCATCGAACATGCGTATCATAAGATCCCGTATACCTCTAACAAAGATTTTAATAATATTTTGGATGCAAAAATAGATAATATTGTTAGTTCTGTCACAATTTTCGGACAAGATTGATACGTTCCTTATTGGTGTTGATTATTAGTGTATTAATTCCAGAGAATAAAATTATCTTAAATTTGATATTTTGATAATAAGATTTTTGTGTTTTGAAAGTTCAAGAATTCTTTGTTATGAGAATATCAAGGTTCTTGATTCTTTCCTAATATAAATTCAACATGAATGGGATTTAGAAGATTAAGATTTTTATTATATTAGATTAGTACTTAACCAATATTAGTAGTATAAATATATCAATGGTTTGCATGTGATAAACACATTTATCATATATAATTAATTATATTTGGAGGTCTATAACTTAATTTTCTTTTCCATCTTAATACACTCTCTAATGTATGAGTGATCTTCTCTTAGTTATTATGGCAGCGAATACTTTGTCCACAAGAGGAACAACTAGGCACGGAAAATATGCTCTTGGATCGCTTGATGATAGAGATATGTTTATATGTTCAAAAGACCTTGCATTGGAACCTTGCAATAAGAAGTCATCCCACCAAACACTTCATAATCAAATGCTGAAAGTCCACAACTTAAGGAATGCTAGTGCTCAAAGTCCACAGGTAAAGTGTCAAGCACTAAGTACACTTTTAAAATCTTATACTTTTGGATGGAGGTTCATCATTAGTTTTATGTTTTTGACATGCCTTTTCATGCGAGGATACTAAGGACTTGAAAAACAAATAATGTGCATGCTTATTTTAACTTGAAAAAGGGTATTCTGATATATTATAGAATTGTAAATAATCTGTACAAAGGGTTCTCTATTTATAGAGAATACTTGACCTAATTTTGACCTAATGGGCTTGGCCCAATACAACAAATAAATGACTAAATAATAACTAAATTATTATTATTTACAACACTTCCCCTCAAGCTAAGGAATAGATATTTATCATTCCCAGCTTGCTAGTGAGTTCTTGAAATCTGTCTGAAGGAAGCCCCTTTGTTAATAGATCAGCTAATTGACGCCCAGTGGGAATGTATGGAGTGGTAATCAACCCGCTATCAAGTTTCTCTTTGATGAAATGGCGGTCAACCTCAATATGTTTAGTCCGATCATGTTGAACTGGATTATGAGCTATACAAATAGCGGACTTATTATCATATAGCAGCTTCATAGGTCCCTCACATTTTATTTTGAGATCATCAAGTACAATTTTCAGCCACAGTAACTCACAAATGCCTTGAGCCATAGCTCGAAATTCAGCTTCTGCACTTGATCTGGCAACCATATCTTGTTTCTTACTTCTCCATGTCACCAAGTTACCGCAAAGAAACATGCAATAACCAGTGGTAGAACGACGGTCCGTCACGGATCCAGCATAATCAGCATCTGTGTAGACTTCTAAAGATGGATTGCCATCACGTCGGAATAACAATCCTTTACCAGGAGTACCTTTAAGATACTGAAGAATTCTCTCTACTGCCTGCATGTGTTTTTCTTTTGGATCGTGCATAAACTGACTGACAACACTAACAGCATAAGCTAGGTCTGGTCTAGTATGGGCCAGATATATCAATTTCCCAACTAGCTGTGATATTGTCCTTTATCAACTGGAGGACTCTCTTCTTCATAGCCCATCTTGTGATTCTGCTCAATAGGAGTATTAGAGGGTTTACAACCGAGCTTTCCTACTTCTTTGAGAAGATCAAGAACATATTTCCTCTGGCTGATAAAAATTCCTTTGCTTGAATGAGTTACTTCTATCCCTAGGAAATATCTCAGTTTCCCAAGGTCTTTGATTTCAAACTCAGAGGCAAGCCGTGTTTGCAGAATCTGTCTCTCCACAAAATCATCACCTGTGATAATAATATCATCAACATATACAAGGAGCACAGTAAGCTTCCCATTTTGGGAGTGCTTGAAGAAAAGAGTGTGATCTCCTTGACTCTGTCTGTATCCTAAGGTCATCATAACCTTAGTAAATCTTCCAAACCAAGCACGAGGTGACTGCTTCAATCCATACAAGGCCTTTTTTAATCTACAAACTTTATTTTTCCCCTTCAGAGAATCAAAACCAGGCGGGATTTCCATGTAGACTTCTTCTTCTAACTCACCATTGAGGAAAGCATTTTTCACATCAAATTGATTTATATCCCAATTGTAATGGGCAGCAAGGGATAACAAGATTCTCACTGTATTCATCTTTGCAACTGGAGCAAAGGTTTCTTCATAATCAATGCCATAGGTTTGAGTGTAACCTTTGGCCACTAATCGAGCCTTATATCTCTTAAGAGTGCCATCAGAATTATATTTCAGGGCATAAACCCATCTGCACCCTACTGCTTTCTTTCCGTTGGGTCTATCAATAACCTCCCATGTTTTATTTTTCTCCAAAGAATTCATCTCCTCTTGCATGGCTTGAGCCCAATTCCTATATTTCAAGGCTTCATGTACTGATTTTGGGATTGCAATAGAATCTAGTGCTGAAACAAAGCTTTTGTGCTGCACAGAAAGATTAGCAGAGGAAACAAAGTGGGAGATAGGGTATTGAGTACAAGAGAAACAAGTTTTCTTGTGACAAGATCTTTTTCCTTTTCTAAGAGCAATAGGTAAGTCATCAAAAGTAGAAGCAATGGGTAAGTCATTAGAGATATCAGAAGAAATAGACAAATCATGAGAGGAAATAATATTAGAATCAGAAACAGGAGATTCAGGAGACTCAGAAGAAATAGGAGATTCAAGACTTACCAGTGGTTCAGACGATTGAGGTTGCTGGTGAGACAGTATGGGTTGTATCTCAGGTGTATTTGAAAGTTCTGACACACCAGGAGCAGACACACTAGGAAGAGAGAAGATTGATCCAGACTCAAAGAAGGAAGGAGACGAGTCTTCTGAAGAATTGTTCTCCCCCTGATGATGGGGACCCAGGAAATAAGATTCAGATTCTTGAAAGGTGACATCCATAGAAACAAAAAATTTCTGACTTGGTGGATGATAACACTTGTACCCTTTTTTATAAGGGTTATAACCAAGGAAGACACACTTAAGAGCCCTAGGATCCAACTTACTCCGATGTTGTTTATGAACATGGACAAAGGCAACACATCCAAACACTCTTGGTGGAAGGCTCTGCAATATGGGAACAGAAGGAAGGAAGGAAGTCATGGAATGAATATGACTGATATTGTTAAGGACCCGTGAAGGTAAACAGTTGATCAAAAAAGTTGCAGCTAATACTGCTTCTCCCCAATAAGAACTAGGAACAGATGTCTGGAAAAGTAGTGCTCTAGCAACTTCAAGAAGGTGACGATTTTTCTTTTCAGCAACCCCGTTTTGTTGAGGGGTATCAACACATGTGAGCTCATGAATCATACCTCTGTCTGAAATGAATTGTGACAGGCGTTGATTGACGTACTCAGTACCATTATCAGATCTGAGTCTTTTAATACCCTTACCAAACTGAGTCTCAACCATGTGATGAAACCGAATAAATATCTGTGGTACTTCAGACTTGTCTTTCATCAAGTATATCCATGTTATCCGAGTACAATCGTCAATAAAAGAAACAAACCACCTTGCACCTGAAACACTGTGCACTTTAGAAGGGCCCCAAACATCAGAATGGATAAGAGAAAAAGGTTCCTTGCTTTTAATAGTGCTAGAAGGAAATGACACTCGATGGTGTTTTGCAAATTCACAAACATCACAATGAAAGGTCTCAACCGACTTATTGAGAAACAGAGAGGGGAACATAGACTTCAAAAGACTAAATGGTGGATGCCCCAGACGCTTGTGATGGAGCCAAATCATAGACTCTGAAGTAGAAGGATGACGTGTCATTAATAACTGATTTTTGCTAGCATGGTCTGGAAGGAGATGATACAACCCATCCTGTTCATTAGCAACTCCAAGTGTCTTCTTCGTGGTAAGATCCTGAATAAGACAATGAGAAGGAAAAAATGTGATAGAACAATTCAAATCAGTTGTAAGTTTTTGAGTGGAGATAAGATTAGTAGAAAGCTGAGGAACATAAAGAACATTTTTAAGAAACAAAGAAGGTTGAATTTGAATGTTACCAGAACCAATAATTGATTTATGGGATCCATCAGCTACGGATATAGTATGACTACCAACAGTAGGATGATAAGAACAAAACAACTCAGTACGACAAGCCATATGATCAGTTGCACCAGAATCCAAAATTCATGAGGTTTTAAAATCAGTGCAAGAAGCAAGAAGAGATATAGAACGTGTGCTCTTACCAGATAAGATCGAAGAACTATCATGCTCGGCCATTCTTTAACAAAAAAGTTAACAACCAGCGATAAAATCAACCAAACAGAATATCAAATGACCTCTGAGCAGAAAAATAATCACAGATCTAGACAGAAGACAAGAAGACGAGAAGAATGGTGGTGGTCCGGTCCAAAAACACGGCCGCACGCGCCTCCACGCGCCGGACAAAGGAGCTGCGAGTGGGATTCACTCGCCGGGAAAGGGGCGGCGCGTGGAGGGGCTTCTCCGGCTGAGATTTTTCTGGTGTGGTCGTCTGGTGAGCGCGCACTTGTCTGTGGGTGGTCGCGGTTGAAAAGTCGCCGGAAAGTGGTCCAAACGGTGAAGACAGATCTGATTGGAGGCGGTCGGAGGTGTTTCGGTCGTTTGTGGCGAAGGAACAATGCGTAGAATGATAGAACGGAGGAAAAATAAGGTCAACAATGGTCCCCTTGGTCCAAAAGGTCCCTGGAAAAATTTTCCGATGGCGGCAAGAGGCAAAGAAATTAGGGTTTTGTTAAAAAAAGAAGATAATATGTGCGGAAGCAAAGCCCTCAGATCGAGAGCTCTGATACCAACTTGAAAAAGGGTATTCTGATATATTATAGAATTGTAAATAATCTGTACAAATGGTTCTCTATTTATAGAGAATACTTGACCTAATTTTGACATAATGAGCTTGGCCCAATACAACAAATAAACGACTAAATAATAACTAAATAATTATTATTTACAACATTTTATGTTCAAGAAAACTCATGCTTTCGTCTTAATGTCATCTATTAGTAATTTAGCGCCTCAATTATGTTCAATACTATCAAATTAGTCATTCTTTATTAAATAGAGGGAACTGAAGGTAATTAGAGGGGTGTGCAAAAGAATTAAAAAACTGAACTGAACTTAAAAAAAATCTGGTTTTTATAATCCAGTTATGCTTTTTAAAAATAAGTTCTTCAACTGAATAGTTTATGAAAAACCAGTTCATGAACTAAACTGGTTTATTGACTGAACTCGTTTTTAAAACCAGTTTAAGAACTAAACTGGTTTACAAAAGCATGAACTGAATTGTTTTTCTTTCTTCTTCTTTTATTTTTTATATTTTTTTCTCTCTATTTTTTTTCCTTCTTTTATCTTTATTTTTATGGGGGTGACTATATTTACTACCATTTTAATTTATCACTCTTATTACCTATTTAGTTAACATTGGATCAATTTGAAATTAATGATTGAAAAAGAGGAAAAATTAAGTGTCGTTGATTTCAAGTTGATCCAACGGTAACCAAATAAGTAGTAAGGCTTAAAATGGTGGTAAATATAATATTCCTTTATTTTTATTATTTTATT